TTGTTTAGCTATGTTAGATCGATATTTAATATCATCACGAGAAGTTCGTCTTAGAAAATTAATAACAACAAGAAAACGAGCAAAATTAATTATTTTATTTCTTATCTGTTTATTTGGATTACATAATATTCCGATAATTAAATACTATGGTGCTTCAAAAGCAGGATATTGTACCATTTCATCATCTATTTATTCATATTATTATTTATATACATTTCAAATATTGCTTCATGGTATAATACCAATTATTTTTCTTTCAGTATTTGGTTTCTTAACACTCAAACAATTAAGAATAATTAGTAGAAGAAAAAATCATTATGGAATGATGAATAGTGATAAACAACTATCTCGTATGCTTCTATTATTATCTTTAGCAATTATATTATCATCAATTCCATATTGTATTGAACAATCTTATTATGTTTTATTCAATAGAAATGATCGTAATCAAACATCATATTTTTTTCTTTATCATGTTGTATGTTCAATATTATTTTATACAAATCCAGTATCTAGTTTTTATATATATTATATTTCAACAAGAAGTTTTCGTATACAAATATATCAAATTCTTTGTCCTAGAAGAAATCTTCATTATGTTGCTTTTTATCAAATCAAATCAGTAGCAACTACAACAATAAGTTTACATGAATCTATTGCATAAAAATATTCTTTCTTTCTTTTTTTTTTTTATTAAATTTAAATATTTATAAAGACTTTCTATAAATCGCATATTATTATACGATGATATAAGATGTCGATTTTAAGGATAAACTGGTGAAATTCAATTCACAAGGTGGGGGGGGGGGGGGGGGGGGGTCGAGGGCTTAGGAGACCGATCGGAAGATTTTTGTTGAGGTTGGCCGAATTTGGGGGAGGTTGAACGTTGTTTTAGAAATAGATGAGTTTTGTGAAGTACGATCTGAAAGGAGTACTGAAGTATATAGGATATAAATTTGTACTCCTCCTCCTCCATCACATACTATACCAGACATCATCATGAAAACGTCATGGATCATGGCAAATGCAATCGACAGATCGTCACAGATGTTGTTGATATACGATCAACGATTGTATAGCAGTAACATCTCGTTATAATAAATGAACTACTCTTTCTTATTTCGTTTCTGGAGAATTAGATAAAAAGATGCTGTAGAAATGTGTCCCAAAATAGATCGAATAAAACAATTTACTTGTGATTAGCAACAGAAACTACATTGTGTTTTACATTTTAATCCCGCAGAGATTATGCTAACAATTTTTTTGAGTGTACTGGAATCTTTACAAAAAATCAAATCAATTTTTCTGGTATAAATTACATCTGAATCGATCTATGGCCCTTAGATATTCTAAAGGTAATGTTAAAACTAACGCGTCATATAATAGATTTTGGTTCATATCTGAAGAATAAACTTCGTTTTATTTTGTACGACATTCATCCAATCATTCTAGTTATCTCATTATGACCGAGTAATAGACTACATTGCATCTAGAAGTCTTCAGATCTATTCTGCTTACAAGCACTTATGATCACATAATGTGTTTAGAAAGTATTTTCACCGTCAAATATAGTTAGATTTGACTTGTTATTTAATCTGCATGATCAACTTATAAGTTAACTGAAAAAAAAAAACTAAGTATAATTAACTGCCTTATTCAGATAATTCTTGGACAACGACAAATTAGCTATCAAAGTAGAGAACCCAAATAAGAGATATTGAGACACAACGAAAATATAGTTGTGCACTTGAATGAACGAACTATTTTTTGGAAAAGGTCAAGATTTTTTATTTAGCCTAACTTAAAAGATGTGAATGTGATTCATTAGTGAGCTGAGCTGAGTTGACTTTTTCTTTCAAAAACTTTACATCTAATATGAAAAGCAGAATTGTTCGTCTAAGTTCAATATGTAAGTCACTATCATTGACTTGAGAAGAAAAGAGATTATTGAATTGAATTAACATTGATAAATTCTCTTTCTATTATTATATTTATTTTATGTAACGTTTCATCAATAAAGTTGACTTCTTCTGTGTATAGTATGCCTCAAATAAAATAAATATACATATATAGTATACAGAGTCTCTATATTATTCATAGTCAAATAAATGATGAAAATCCAAGAAGTGAACTTCGTCCAGTATCATCGTCTTATTCACTATATTGTGAAAAAGAAATAAAATTGAATTATAGGAAGAGAAACATTTGTGAATATTATTTCAATACATAAGCTGATGTAATACAGAAATACTGAGAGTTTTTCATACAATACTATTGACTGCATGGTATGAGTAACTTCCTGTAATGATCGATATCTTTCTAAGTTTCATTCGTCTGACGAAGAAAATTCAGCTAATCAGTTCAATATTGGATGTAATTTCTAATAAGATGCTTAAGAAGACCTTAAGATCGCTGTACAGATACTAAAAGCAATCAGCGAATAGAATATTTCTTTTCTTTTGTCCATACTTGACGAATTAAACGAGTTATAGCCTTATTATTTCCGTCTTACTATGGCACAGATTCCTGCCATATATAAAGATGTACAATAGTAAAAGGTAAAGCCATAACTCATTTAAATTTTGAGATATAGACAAAAGAAATAAATTTATTTTATTTACTGATTGCTTTTGCTATCTATTACGAAATAATCGTAGTGATAATATGACTTTATTTAAACATCTAGTTAGAAAATATATCCAATATTGAACTGATTAGGAGGATTTGTCTCGTCAGAAAAATGAAACTTAGAAAGACATCGATCATTAGAGGAAGTTGATCATATCATGCAGTCAATAACATTGTATGCAAATTATTAGTACTTCTATATATATCAGTTTGTGTATTTAATGTGTTTTCAAGCATTTCTTAATGAATAATCACTTGAAAAGTCATTAAATTGGCTAAAATTTTTAGATGGGATACAAGTATGTTACATATAAAAAGTACTAACGTTCTGTTATATTGATTTATTTAAAATATCTAATTAAATAAACTATTTATTATTATTATGAAATGATCATTTAACATTGATAAAGAAGAGACATTAATTCTTTTTCTTCTTTCTATATACTTTGTTGCTTTGACCTGTTTTTTTTATTATCGTAATAAGTACTTCAGCATCTATCTATAACTGTTTCAATTCGTGAGAAATATCAATATAGTCATTTATTAGTGCATCTATTTCAACAGTTATCAAATGATTTTTTTCTTCATTATATCATAAAAATAAGAATATTGTTATTTGATGAAAAAGAAAATGAATTTTTTATCATAAACTAATCAACATTGTATTTAGTTGTATACATTAAAGAATCGATAACAATTTCATCATACCCAAAATGATTTGAAAAAAAAAATTTTATATTTTATTAGTAATGTTAATCACTATAATTAAGCAAATAAATATCTCATTCTGTCAACGTATGATCGTTTCACTTTATTTGTACCGAGCATTAAAATATACTTCATTACATTAAAAAACAATTCATACTAAATTATCTGCTACTTTAAATGGAATATGTGAGTTACAGATTCAGCACCAAAGGAGCTACACTGGCATTTTTTTTTGAATTGATCCTACTCAATGATGAAACATGTGATGCTGATTTATTTTCGTAATTTGAAACGGATCACTACGCAACTATCGTTTGTTTGATAGGCTTTTATTCTTAGATATGATCAATTCAATGATAATGTCGAGAGAGAAAATATAATGAGAGTAGTAATCCATTTGTTTGGCTGACTCATCGCACACAAAAGCAATGTCTTATCATTGAGTGAGGAACTATTGTATGTGACTCATTTTTTGCTCACACAAAAGTACGTCCTTCTGGCATAGAATTTTACCTACGATATACACAAGAAGTACATATTTGATTTTGATCTATTGATTAGCATGCAAATAATAGATGGGTTCTATTTCTCGAAAAGAACCATATGTTTATGTTGAGTTGAGGCACTTTTTTTCAGTGATTTCACATCGAAATAAGAAAAAAAAAACAAATCAACAATGAGTAATAAAACTATAATATTGCTCTCTCACCTTTTCTATGGGGCGTGTGCTAAATGCGATGAAGCGAGGAAAGTACATTCTTTTTCTTTTTTTTCCTTCTCGTCAATCCTCAGATAGATAATGGCTAGCGTATAAATACAGCATACACAAACATTATCTAATACACAACAAGCAATCACAATAAGATGGTTAAACTCGTCGTTCTCATCGCTCTCGTAAGTTTCTTTAATGCATGCTGGTAGTAAAATCTTTATCATTTGTTGCTTATAGGTATGTTTTGGATTGGTCTCAGCTGGTGGTTTTGTCAGCTATGGACGAGTAGGTGGTGGTAATCATCATGGTGGTCAAATCGGAGGTAGAGGTTATGGCAACACAAAAGAATCGAGACTATGTGCCAATAGCACCTTGGTCCAATTATACGCCAAGCAAATACAAGCAGCCATTACGCAACTAAGCAAAAATGCTTCCTTCACATATTTCTTAGGAGAACGAAAAGAAGAAGTGGCATATTTCAAAAATGCTGCTAATACCGCACGTCTTAAATCGAACTGCACAGGATACTTCAAGGGTTTGGATGCAGCTCGTACACGTGACAGAGTTGCCAAAAATCAACGCAATCTATACACAGAGATCGGCAATCGTCTCTTTGAAACCATTCTTCTCAATCTCCAGCCTCACTCTAGATATAATGGTCGTGGAAAAGGGTCATACATACTTCATTATTAGCTCTCGTTTCGTTGTATTTATTCATGTAATAAACGTTTCCCTTCTTTTAAACATTGAAATAAAGTGTTAGTTGTCAGAATCTTTTCTCTATTCGATCATTGTTTGTTGTTTAATAAAAGTAATAATGTATCGACAGTTTTCACAATTGTGTTATTCATCAAGAAAAAAGACACGAAAAGCAACATTTTATTTTTACACTGACGTTTAACATTCATATTACGCTCGACAACTTTCTGTCATCGATTATTTACACGCTGTAATTGGCAGCATTGCATCGAAGTTGTTTTCTCACATTCATTTCATCATGAGGAGTAACAGAAACTTGGATAGTTATTTAAAAAAAGTTCTACTCCTGAATAAAAATCATCATTTCAATACGAAACAACAGCCAGCTAAGAAAATCAAAGAGTCATTCGATAAACGTTTGAGTGTTTCATCGAAATAGAAAAAGAAGACTACTATTTAAGTGGTCAGTATAATAGATGAAATGGTCAGTAAAAAAATATGTAAATGATCAGTATAAATATGAAACGGTCAGTACTGAAATTAGCAGTAATTAATTGTAAGATGATCGGTTTATTAAATAAAGTAGTAGTAAAAAATTCCAGCTTGTATCAGTAAGAAATACAAATTTGGCCAGTGAAAAATACAAAAGTTATCGGTAGAAAGATAAGTTTTACCAGTAGAAAATAAATTTAACAAAATTAAAAAGCCACATAATTAAGAGAAATTTTAACAGCAATTGAAAAAAAAAGAAAAAGAAAATCAAATTATTGTATCAAGAAAGCAGATTTAGCCTTTGTTGGTCTCCCTCTTTTTCTTTTCTCACCGATTGAAACTGTTTTTGCTGCTGATGGTGTTTTACAATATTTCAAACGAATAGAGTATGGGTGGGTGTAACTGTGGCTGTGAGTGTGGGTGTGGGTATCGAGAAAGAGTTTATACACACCCACACCCACCCTATACATGGGATAGCTAAAGACAGTGACGAGAGAAGAAGGCGAGAAGCTTCTTTTCCTTTGTTTTAGACAATGGACAATAATTAGAATTAAAACAATGATTCCTCTTATTCACAAAATGTGTAGGTTAAAAGTAGATTAAAAGAATAGGTCAAAAGAACGAGAACACATTTAGAATAGCTGAGGACAAAGAAAAAAAGTGATTCACTCTATATCTATTCCAATTTTTATACTGATCCTTTAATGTAATCGATTGTTAATAAATTATATTTACTGATTTTTAAATTTATTTACAAACCTAATTAATTAATAACTGATCGTTTAAATAATTTACTGATCAATCATTAAATTGACTGATTATATATTTATCTCACTTACTGACCATGTCATTTATTTTACTGATCTTAAAGTAACTTCCCAAAAAAAAAAACAATGCGAGTGTAAAATGACGTGAATCTTACGTATTCGCCGAACGCATGAAGAATCACAGTCGTTGAAAATAGACATTTGTCATGTTACTCTACTCGAGATCTAAATTAACTATGATAACATCTAGAAATCGCACTGAATCTTTCTGAATACAATTCTATTGTCAATAAATTGAATTATTGTTAATAGTAATTTTTTTTTTATTATCAGTTTTTATTGAAAGAAAAATAAAACACGTTGACAATAATGAATGTAGAATAACATGTATTTATACTTGAAGACGTAAGTTACTATGATTATTTTTCCTGTTATGAATAAGAAATAATATTTATTTCTACTTGTTATACATAATGTAATAAGTTTACTAAGAAGTTTAACATTGAATACAATTAATAGTTTAATTTTTTCATTATTTCAATTTGTTTGTAGATAAAGTTTTATTTGAAAAATTGCATTCAATTGTAAGTTATCAGCTACATTTGGATAATACATTAAAAGAAAGTTATTCTAATGAAGCAAGCCTGGTAAAAGATGACCGTCATTAACAATTGTTATTATTTGTAAACATAATGAAAAAATTTGAAAGATTTTATCAACGATTTTTAATATATGTAAACCAGTTTTTGAATCAGTACGAACAAAATGAAGATTAGAAAGAGAAGAAAAAATATTGCATTATAAGAAAAGATGTTCTACAATATTTGTGTAATCTGTTAAAAATCTTTTTTAATTCATCGAAAAATTTTTTTTTGTCGATTCGAAAACTAATTATGATAATTATTTGAGTTTTTTTTCTTAAATAAAGCCCACAAAATCAAATTACCTGATAAGGAGAACATTTCGAGATAGAACCTGTCGAGTTGATCTCTAATAGAATTGATTGCAGGTCTGAATGTGAGTTTGAAAGTTTTTGTTAACCAAGTCGGAGTCCGAAAATTTCGGACTCGATGGGTTTTAGTCTTCAATTTCGATTAGAAAATTTCATTGAGATTATCAAAGTGCGATTCAGTTGAGTTCGAGTCTGGATCCGAATTCGAAAATTTTGAGCCCGACGTGCTCTATCATCAACACTTTGTTTGAAGACAATTTGCTTCTGGCTGATTGATAAGTTTGTCGATTAGTGGTTCTAAAGAGATGGGCCAATCTCATGACCTTTACGGTCACTAGACTTAAGGCTATTGGATTTCTCTTTATGGGAATATATCAAAACAAATGCTCATAAAATGACTATTAAAGATATGAAGAATTTAAAGATGAAAATAATTCAAGAAGTTGAAGTACTTATATGCTAGTCATTGTAACTTGTCGAAAATACAAAATTGAAACAGGTTTGTTTTTTCTTTTTTTTATATGTGGTTGGACAGTGCGTCTAGTTTATTGATATTTTATTTTGTTGCTGGGAAAACTGGTTTTTATTGAAATTTATGCCAGAATCGGTCTTTTGTAAGCCTGTATATGGTTGGTTTCCCTGAATTTACCTCTCGTACTCAAAACAAACATATATCTGAAATCAGCACAGAAAACTGAGTCGACGTATAGATGTTTTCAAAATATTTTAAGAACTTTTATTTTGCTCGAGAGTTTCGTCCTAATTCCTTGAAGTTAGGTCGAAAAATCAATTTGCTTAAAATGCTGTGATTAGTCAATAATTATCTTTTTTATCTGAATATACAAGCATGCCGCTCATGCACGACCTTTTTTGCATAATTAGAGGGGTATTGTGAGTAAAGTGACCTTTTGATCGAATCCTGAGGAAACACTGCAAAAATTTTTTAGAAGCAAAGAAAAATTTTTAAAATATTTTGAAACGCCTATACATCGACTTAGTTCTCTGTGCTGATTTCGAATATATGTTTTTTTTTAGTACGAGAGTGGTTAATTCAGAGAAAGCAGCTAGATACAGACTCAGAAAAGTTCGATTCTGACATAAACTTCAATTAAAATTGCTCTTCGCAGCAATTGAATAAAGTCTCAATAAACCCGAGCTATACTTTTAAAGTATAACCTTTAACGATTCTAATGAGATATGAAAGTCAGTTTTATTGTTTTGCAGATAAAACTACGTAAGGAACATTATAAAATACTGGTCCTAAATTTTGATCCTCTCCACTCTTGTGGTGTCAGAATTGCGGTCATGTTATATTTGCATATTATTATTAATAAATAATGCTTGACAATTAATGGATAAAATATATATGAAATTAAATCATACTAATGATGAAACACAATCATTTCTTTTTATTTGTCATACAGATTTGTTATCTTGTTTTCGTAGACATAAATATCTTCTTTTTGTTTTATTTATATATTATTGTATTAAATTCACGTCTTGTTTCAATTACATTACATGATAAAGTTGATAGAGAATATCATTAATCAGAATTACAATATGATATTATAGCAATTGATAATAGTAATAAAGAAAAGAATTGAACAAATAGAATAATTCGATATATTATTGATCGCAATAATCATGAATCGAAATTTCGTAAAGATTACTATTTGATTCATATAAGTAAATTAATTCGACCTGATACGATTATATTTCAAGTAAATCCAACAAGTGAAGATCCTATTGTAAATGGAATGATAACATATTATTTCGTAAATTCACCAGATTATTGTTTTTTTTATTAATGAACAAATAGGAATAATTCGTTTAAAAAACTTTCTCATGCTTAGTGACGAATTTTACATTGACAATAAAAAGTATTTAAATATGGAATTAATTTAACTGATCATACAAATTTATAACAATTATTAATGATGATGATCTTTATTTTAATTTAGATAACATAAACAATTACTTCGTTGGGGAAAATACGATTATTTGGATAATTGTTTGTACAATTGGAAAATATTTAAATGATTTTATTTATGAAATAGTTCATAAAATGAATAGATGTGAAATTTTTTGAAACAATTCAACGCTTATTAACTCTAGCACTATCAGCCTAGGTCATTTTTGACTCGGACTCAAAAATTTCAAAATACACTAGAAAGATTTTATTTTTTCCTGGTTTTTGGAAGCAACTAGCATCCCTTACTAATAGATAGATGTAGATATATGTTGTTGAACCTAAAAAACAGTTCATTTTTTTTCTATACCATTACACAGCTTTAATATGATATAATGACCTCATTACTCAATAAATATGAAACAAGAAAAAGAGATAAGTCAACCTTCAATCAATTGAATGAATCATCTAGCATTCTAATTGGATAGCTCAAAATCATTTCAAAAAAATGTTTTTTAATGGATCTGAAATATTCAGTTGGAATAGCAAATGACTCATTGCATTACAGTTTCGAAAATTTAGCTTATACCCCTTTCGTGTTATATGTTTGTTGTATATTGAAGACATGTTATTCCACCGAAGGCTTGTAATAATGTAGAAAACAAATGAACTTCTTTTTAGATTCAATAATGTATATCTATTCGTGAAAATGCTAGTTACTTCCAAAACCAGGAAGAAACAAAATCTTTCTAGTGTACGTTGAGATTTTTGAGTCGGGCTCAAAAATGATCCCAGCTGGTAGTACTAGGGTTAATAAAAAAAAATATTTTATTATGAAATTGATCAATATGAATATAATGTAACAATCATTCTTAGAAATCGAGAATATCAAGTTATCAAAAATTTTCTAATCACTATTAAGATAATAATAGAGAAAAATCAAGTCTATTTCGAAAAAAAGAAATTTATGAAATGAATAGTCTATAGAAGATCAATTAGGATGTAAGCGTAGAGCAGAGTCCGTCGGATCGAACTCGGACCTGATCGAGTCCGAGTAGAGTTCGAATCTAGATTTGAAAATTTTCTGTCTACCGGGTTCGGGTCGAATCCGGCAGTTGCTATCCTAGAAGTAACAGTCAATTATGATCCCATGCTTATACAATCACCGTCAAGATGCCTTGAGAAATATGTACGGCATGCTAGTTACGCAATTTAACTAACAAGGAAACTATTCCAAGTGTTAATCACGGATTTAAGCACCCTAAAGAAAGTACTGAGTTCAGGGTACCCATGTACTGAGAAAGACCTAGCAGGGTATCCAATATGAGTACTTCAAAAATTCTCAGTAATTATACTGATGTAGGTACTGCGTGTGGTTCCCATAAAAGTACGCTCACTTAACAAGTACTTGTATGGGTACTCGCATCTGTAATTTTACTGAGGCAAACTATACAGGGTACCCTGTATTTGTCGCGTTCTGTGTAGCGACTATTCATTCACCGTTTTCCTTCTCACGCACGGTTCCATATAAATAACTGGGTAAGACATAAGAAATTAATCTATTTTCATACTAATCTTTTCTAGATTATTTCTTGACTATTTCTTAGTTGAGAATATCCCGATCTTGATCGTAGATTAAGAGCGGACTACTCCGAAGTGGTCTGATGGATACCTGCCCAACTCAAGTCGGGTCAGATCCCGGCATTGTACCTGCTAAGTTTTCGGAATTGAAAAAATTAAATTGAATAAAATCGAAAAAAAAATTGTAGTAAATTGCTTTGAGTGAAACAAAAATTAAAAAAAGTTAAAGGTCAGGTTCAATCCTGAACATAGTGAAATTTTTGTAACAGGATACCTAGAAATACTATACAATAGTACCCAATTGAGTATCTGCTCAGTACCTTCAAGTACGCAGTTACTACACGTCTTGTAGCAGGGTACTTGTTAAAGTACCACTTAGGTACCTGAAAGTACTTCCAAGTACTTTGGTACCCAAAAGTTCCTGTGACATACTGGTAACAGGGTACTTTTTCTGGTACCCTTAACTCAGTACATTCTCTAAGGCAGGAGTCATACCAATTGATAGAGCTCAATGAGCTGATCACAATGGCAATAAATGTTTTTCCCCATAGGACTTTTTTATAGAATTTTTCTGATCATATTTCTCTAATGAAATGTAGCGTATGGCCGTCCAATCGATCATTTCATACACGCATATTGCCTTTGAACTCTTTGCAGTGTTCAAACTTGATGTTTTACTTATTTCCTATACGTTAAATATCCATTTTTACGTCTTGTGAATGTTAGTAACAGTATAAGTGATAGTACTGATTCTTCTTTGTTCATAAATGTTCTACATGACTGGACGTGTATTCTTTTGACGAAAATTACAGGTGGATAGAGAGGAAAAAACACAATTTTGTACCACTACTTGTTGTTTTCCTTTTTATGTTTTTCTGTTCTCCGATTGTATCGTGTTCATTTGGAAAGAAAACAAAACAAGGATAACGAAGTTGGCCGAGGAAGAAAATTCAATTGCTGGTCAAATTTTAGACGTGTTGAACGACATTTTTACAAGCAACAGCTATGAAATTGATAATGATATTACTTTGATGCTCGTCGACAGTATTGATAATATAGACATCGATTTTACATCTGAAGATGATAATGGTAATTTCACTTCCGAATATACTACATTTACATTGGACTATATGAGAAAAGTTGTCGATTTTGCTCGACCTGGTACAGCATTCACAACAGTGCAACATGCATTTTCACGCGTGCAATATCCAATACAATCAGCACAATTTCGAGAATATGTACAAAACGATAGAAATAGTCGACAAAAATGATCTCACCTTGAACTATTTGTTCTGGAAAAGTTTAAAAGAGCACGTGATACAAATTTACCAGTTCACAATACAGACATCTGTCGATGGTCATTAACTCAAGCTGCAATTTAAAGTATCGATAATTTTGTCGCCAGCAATAAGTGGTTGTCAAATTTTAAACGACGAAGCCACATTCGTTCCAGAAAAGTCACAAGGTTCTCTTCAAAACATGAGATTTTTAATAAAGAAGAGATTCACCAAGCCGGTGAAGAATTCGTTACTGAAGTTAACCCTTTACCCCCCAATGGGTCATATATGACCCATTTGTAGATACGATCAGAGAAAATAAAGATAGCATGAGACTGAAAAACTCCCAAGACATTATTTGTAGGGAACTCCACAAGCTATCGATTAGTAAAAAAAATACTTTGTTTCATTGCTCTACCTTCGAGATATATGACTTACAAAATCGATAATTTTGAAAAAAACGCAAAAATTCGAAATTTTTTAAACAAGATGTTCTCTACTCGCAATCGATAGAGGTCTTTTGGAATTTCTGTGTGATAGTAATCGATGAAGAAGTCAACTGCTGAATTAGATGTGTTTCGAAAGCTTCATGCTAACTTCGTGAGCTAGGCATCCTAAGGAACACAATTGACCATGTTGTCACTGTTAGACAGATGGAGGCTAATCAAGAACAAAGTTAATATATGCGTTATAGACCTCAACTCATAAGAAGCCGAAATAGTATTTATGATGAATTAAATTCCTTCAGACATTACAAAATGGCTCAGAGTAAAATAGGCTTAAATTTGACAATAGGTGTAAAAAAAGCATGCATTCTTTGATGTTAATTTTTATCGGTTCGCTCGTTGCATTTTTCCTATCAGTTTAACAGTACGAGACAGATGCTGCTTCTGTCCAGTCAATAATATGGTCAAAGAAAAAAAATTAAGTCTTATGATGTCGTTCAATTTCCATTTTCCACCACATGATTTTTACATCAATCAAACCGCCCTACTCCAGGAACAGGACGTTCGGCGCATTAGGCCACACCATTGGCATATTCAACAGGCTAATACTCTATTTATAAAGTTATTTCATCAGCGGCTCTTCTGGAACTGCTATGGGGGGTAAAGGGTTAAAAGGATCTTACCTAAGTACAAGCTTGAATCTACTTTTAATACTTATCAATCAAGTTTCCATTATTAATTTGCATCAAATCGTAAGTTATCTTTTCGAAATAAAAAATCGACTTTTGTCACCGTTCAACCACTCAACGCCACCACACATTCGTATACTGTAATGCCATTTATCAATGCTGCTGATCGACTTGTCAGTTCAGTTTTCATTTGTTTGCAGGGACCCACAGATCGTTTTTCGGTAACGAAGGACGTGTTCTCAGCTCCAAACGTCGTGATCGTTACCTGCAGCATATCTGGTAAATTAAATAGATCTTTAATCGAGCATTGGATACAGGACGTCCTTGACGATGTTACAAACAACCAGTTTCTTCGATTAGTCGATCAATGGTCCATTCAAATCGATGATTCTATGTATAAAGATAATTTAACCAAAGGACAATCATGTAAATTGATGGTGATACCAGGGAAGGTCATATCAACAAAACAACCTTGTGATCGATATTTCTTTCATCAATGGAAAAAATTAGTACGAAAAATTTATCACCATTGATTGATAGATGATCTTAATATTAATTTGAGAGATCGAGATTCCATCATCAAGATGCAGTCGCTGGTTCATAACCAGTTTTCTACTGATATTTTCATACCAATGATTTCCTATTCATGGTCAGCCTGTGGTGATTTTCCACCAAAATATTTGTCATTTTTAGCGTCCTGTTAATACTCATTTTCTTGACCTAAAAACAAAACTATCGTCGTGGATACCCAAGTCCATACTTGATCCTAATAAAGCATGGTAAAATAGAAGGATCTTGATCTATACTGAAATTTCAACCTACTACTATGATTCATCAAATAAATATGAAAAACTGTACTAGAGAGGGCGCTGGAAACAGAACATCTTTTTTTTTACAAAGTTTTTTGGTATACGCTGTCCGCATTTTTAAATAAACATAAAGCTTATTATCACATGAATTTCTTGATCATGTCAATTTTTCAAGATGATTGTTCGTAGGTGGTACTGAGTTGATATTGATGGCTATTCGAACCAATAAAACATATGATGTATGAAAGGAATGATTAACAAGGAAGTTTTGTCTGTCATTTAGAATTGACATCCTATGAAGATGCGCTTACAATACCATTATCTGTTGACGTTGAATACTTTATGTACGAGAAATTCAGCTGCCATTCAAAAGAGAATAATTTTTATAATGTAATAGCACCAATATTACTTTTTGTTTTTCTCAGAATTCTAATAAACAACATCTAAGTGTATTTTAATATTAATTTTCTTCTTCCGTCTATACTTCGTTTGCTTAATTTGTGTACTCTATATCTGTCTATGGTATTTTCATAAAGAAAAAACCACATTTTATAATATTAACTTCATTTTATTTTTAGACAAATAATGGATGATGATTTTTTTAACATATTCATTAAAAAATAACTAATTGTGGATAAATTTCAATCATCAGTTGCAACAAATGAATTAATTAATTCTACTTCAAGATCATTATTTGAATGTTTACAAATTGATTCATTAGATAAATCGGTTCTTCTACAAATCGACAACGTACTATTCATTTAGAAGGTCTAATTGACAGGACACATTAAAGAGTTTGGGTGCCATGTTGTTGCTGATCTAGAGAAATACAAATAAATTAACATTTCAAAAAACGAAAAAAAAACAAATAACAGAATTAGTTGAGGTGAGATGCATTTTTTTATTATCAAATAATGAAATTGTTGTTTCTTCTTTCGTATTAACACTTGAAAATAATAATCCAATCGAGGCTTCACCTAACAACGTATATAAATGATCACTTGAATTTATGTATTTCGGATATATATTTAGACTGAGATTGGGCAATCAACTATTGATAATCAGAAACCAAAATATGAACATTTAATTGTAATTAAAAAAGCTGTTAGTAAAATTCTAATATCATGAAAATTGCGGCACTTTTGGCAATTAATCACGATTAATTAGTGGTTTTTAGGATATTACAATGAATCGAGACTAATTGGCAAGTTTTCAACAAACTTCAACAGTAAGCATTAATAGATAAAAATTAATGTTGTTTTTCTTTTATTTAGACCATATGTTCATCTCAATAAATAGTCAGTATTATTCTATTAAAAAAAAAATTTCTCCTATATTATGTACTACGAATTGGAAGGAAGAAATCATCTCGTTTCTCATTCACGAGGAACATGTATGAGCGCGAAGATAAATGACGGTGGTATACACTCCGAGACGTAACCATAGTGATAGATCCAAATACTACGACCAGGTCGGATCATAGGGAATATTATTTGAATAATCGTGATATAATCTCACGATTAATCAACCTAATAAATTCTGATAAAATCATTGATTTTTGTTCGACTTTGTCGACATAGATTCTTAATAAGCATTTATTATCTATTAACATTCTCGAACAATGACAACTTGTTTTTTTTATAGCTTACGACAATCGATTTCATCATAAGCATGTGAACTGAATCTCATTTAACTTTTGGTTTTCCTGTATGAAACATTATCTATAATAAAAGAAACCTTAGTTTGCACTCATCGTACTCGCTATTTTAAGGAATACTTTCTTTAAAAAAGCTCTCTTTGATCGAAAATATTTCCGATTTTTCTAGTATATTTATCTAGGAGCCATTCTGTATTCAGTTATCGCATAGCAAGTAGTCCATCAACTTTCTATGAACACAAAATTGAAACTTCAGTAAAAAATCTTATTTTCAACGAATGATTTCATACAATCAAAATTTTACTTTTAGGAATAGAAGCATGTCTTATTCTCGTTGAAAGAAACACAGTCGCGAAATTTTATAATTTACATTAATCAAGCAAATAAAATCTTGTCCAGTTACCGAAATTTCAATTGTATTTATTTTTATCCTCAACATTCCGAGAAAACCTGAATTTCAATTTTTGTTCACTATATAACCCCGCCAAGAGTTCTGAAAAAGTGCCAAACAAAAGCCTAGAACAAAAAGATGAACAGACTGTCGTTAAAGTTTGATCTTGATAAGTACAAGTGTTCAGAAGTCCATTCATGTTTTTTTTGTAGCAAACGCAAAATCATCAATTAACTGTGAAGTATTAGATATTTGTCTGTTGGTCTCAACCTTCTACATTTTCGTTTTCTTATAGACGATTGCTTAGCCGTTTTATAGCTATCGAAGTTGGGTATTTTGTGTTCTAGATTAAAATATCGACACCGTCGATTATTTTTTGTTTTTTTGTTTGAATTCAACGGTTATTCAGATTATCAGAAAAATCTTAAAAGAACAGCTGGAAATTTATGTAAGAATAGAACATAAAAAAGATTTGACTTTATCTATGTCTGTGTAGGAGCAAAACGAGCAATGAGCAACATCGTGATTGATGAATATTGTAAGACTATTAAAAAAAATAAAACAAATATTAGCACAGAACAATTGAAAACATCATTTGATGTATTTGTTTCTGCTTTAAAAAATACTGATATTCCTGATGTTAATAGTGTGCTGATGGAACAAATTATTTCCGCATTAGCTAGTTTACCATTTAGACACAAGAAACTTACCGAGTCTGAACTGATCACACACGAGGTTTTGGTCATTTTACGTGATAATGTAATTATCGATCAGCTTCGTCGAAAACAAAATGAAGACAATATTACACCAAAAGTCTTATTGAAAGTTTCAATCTTGTTTATGAACCTAAGCTATAATATCAACGACGCTAATATTGAAAAATTCAAACATTTATTTCTTTACAAACCATTGATCGATGAACTTGCAAGTTGTCTTAATGAGATTGGTACACATGGCAAACATTTGAATGATCCTCTACTTCTCCGTTCAGTCACCTCCCTATTAATAGTATTCAAGAATTCCCTAAGAAACGATATCATACCAAGCAATTATCCGCTGATTGCACCAATCTTTTTTGCTATTATTCAATGTTTATGCTCTTCGTATGCTGTTGACATGGTTAAAAGTTTGAAGCACAATTTTATTCAGAAACTCAATGAAGGTCAAATGCTGTTTCTTCATATGATGCCATGGTATTTACAATGGTATCCTGATTATCGTGATCCTGAAAATTTGATTAAGATTTTACGAATATTACTAAATGAATTCACTGTATGGATGACAAGTTGTCATCCAGACTCTTATCTTCAATGTACTAGTCAGTTTGGCGCTATGATTCGCCATTTAAATTATTTTCTCGTTCGTCCTATCGAACCCGATAATGTGAGCATTTTTAGTAAAGAATTTTACCATGACTACTCTAAGTTGGTTTTGCATTGGACATCAATTTTATCATCAACCATAACACATTCTTTCACTAGAATGAATTTCATATCAACTACACGAACCATCGTTCAATCTTTGTATAATTTCACACTGCACTTAAATGTATTAAATTTTATGAAAACTATACCAAACTTGATCCCTATGCTTTTGAAAATGACTGATGTTGAACACGATGAAATACAATTGCATGCTTATCGATGTTTGAGCAAAATTATGATTGAAGCAGACATTAAAACTATGGCGAATCCGGGTAAAATTGCTGCTGTATATATTGAGTTTATTACGAATACTATCAATGATCCATGCAAAAGGGAGCGGTTTTATAGTCTGTTGGAGAGTTTAAAGAGTAAGTTAATACCTATGATAGCTTTGCTTAATTTTTTTTTGATTATAGATTCATTGTCAAACTCTTTTTAGGTTTCGTTCAACATGATCAAGTTAAAACTGAGCTGATGGACCAGGGAACGCTTCCTTTACTAGTAAAATGTGTCTTAGAAACTCGATTCGATTCAATTAAAGTACAACAAACAGCTTTGGAAATTCTTCTCGCCCTCTCGTTTCACAACGACGCTTGTTCTATTCTAAAACAGAATGAAAACTTCATGAGTCATTGTCGAATTCTTGCTGAAAATATCAATTCAGATCAATTCGATTTACAACGAGCTGCTGAAGGACTTCTTTGGAAATTAGAAAGAGAAGACGAAGCTGTTGCTAAACCGATTATTTTGAATTCGTACCAATACGATATCATGATAAGTTATTCACACAAAGATAAAGAATTATGTCTTCAAATTCATGAACAACTAGTGAAAGACGGATTTAATGTTTGGGTTGACAGAGACTGTTTACGTGGATCAACAATGGTAGGCATAGCAAATGCTATTGAAAATTCTGAATATGTACTCATCTGTATGTCGAACACTTACAAAGAAAGTGTCTATTGTCAATCGGAAGCACATTATGCATTCGAACGTGGATGTCATCTAGTTCCAATTATGCTAGAATCTAATTATAAACCTGATGGATGGCTCGGTATCATTGTCAGTGGCAAGATCTATGTAAACTTTGCCAAAGTTGAATTCAAATCGGCCTATGAAAAATTGAAGAATGAGATTATTGAACAACGACAGAAATATTTAAGGAAATCGTCGACGAAATCAATAGAGAAAGATCCAGTCGATATGATTTCCATAACTCCGAAACATATTGAGCTAGTGCCAGAATCGATCGAGTGAGTTTCATTTATTTATTCTGTAAATCTTTATATAAGAAAGCTGATTAAACAAAAAAATGCATTCGATAGTAGTTATGTTGTCAAAATTTCAATTCAGAGTAGCCATTTCCATACTTATCATTTTGCAACTGTTGAGGAAATTTCTAGTGGTGCTAAATCGCTTTTTGACTGAGACACTATGCTTATTCAGCCAGTCG